GTTTGGGAAAGGGTGACTTCCAAAAGCGGTGCCCTGTTCTGGGTCCTGGTCAAAAAGGCTCGCTTTACTGCAAGGTCGGATTTGGAATTGGGAGATGGAAAAGTGGCGCCCCCGTTGCGACGGTCATAAAAATGATTTTTTTGGGGCACACAAATGGGTTAGTGATGGGTTAGTGGATATGCATGTTGCGCAACCCTTTTGCAGCACTTCAGAGTTTGCATTGTTTTTATGCCCTTCAAACGCTAAAAACTTGAGATGCCCCTGACAGGTGTGACCCTTGTTCTGGTCTCAAATGTCTACGTAGATAGCTGGCGAGTCATTAAATTACAAGTCACTCAGTTAGTTAGTTGTAGTTAGTTATAAAGGTATACAATGAGTTGGTTATACTTAGCTATACAGCATTATACAGCTATAGTTGGCTACACTTAGTTATAGTTACATAGTTGTAGCTGGTATCGTCAGGCATAGTTAAAGATATAGTTCAAAGTTACAGTGATAAGTTATAAGTTATCAGTTGTAGTTGTAGTCGTAGTTGGGGTAATAAAACGTTATGGTTATAGCTATATAGTCTATATAGTCTAGTTGTAGTTATAGTTATTGTCTATTGTAGTTATAGTATGTTATAGTGAGATATAGTGAGATACGGTCAGTTCTCGTGAGCTAGAGTTTGCTATAGTCAGTCATAGTCGGTCATAGTGAGTCAGAGTTAGTTGGAGTTAGTTGAAGTTGGTTAGTGTCAGACTTAAAGATGGTTAGAGTCCGTTAGACTTGGTTAGACTTAGTTCGAGCTACTCAGAGTTAGATAGAGTTCGTTGGAGTTGGCCGGTTAGGTTACTTATTTGCTCCCTTGGTTAGTTAGTAAGCTGTGATGAATGAATAAGTGAAATCCGGGGTGATACTGATTTAAGTTAGTTGGTCAGGCAGCCAACCAACCAGGCTTGTTGCCACCGCCCAAGCAGTTTCCGCGCCTCAGACGCCAAGATTTGATAGACACGAGTCACTAGATCCACTGAGTCCCAACCTCCAGTGGCAACACCCAGCGGCATGGACACCCCATCAATGGTGAGATTCTGCCTCTGGTCTTCTGGGATGCCATCCTGTAGGCAAGTCGTAGCCGTAGCCAAAATTTCCAACGGCAACCACCCACAGGACGACCACCAAAGGCAAACCCGAAACCACAGCATTCAGAAGATTGCCATGAAGAAAACAAACGGGAGGTCACAAGGCGAGAGCACAAAACCTTTGAGCCACATGTAAACAAAGTCAAGTGCTGCCATATGCCGCCATTGTTCATCCTGTGGATTGACAGATCTGGCAAGGCTTGACTCGGACATTTCCTTTTAGCTTGGCTCGGATGTTGAACGTCCCGGATTCTCACAGCCACCATGGTATGCCAATCTTCCGGCTGCAAGGTTGTGAGTTCGACCGAAAAGGCCCTAAATTTGCTAACTGTGAGCAGCAAGGGGAAAAGGAATGTGAGAACCTCAGCTAGACTTTCACACCACAGGCAGTTTGTCGCAAATTTGGGTCAAGGGACTCTCATGCAGGGACTCTTTCCTAGTCTTTGTCTCGCAGAAGAACTGTTCAACTACAATCACAGCATCTTTTTACTCCTTGATCTAAGAGTTCAATGCCAATGCATGACGTCGCCACAAACGGTTTCCAAGGTGACAGCCGAGGAAGTTGATGAAAGCACTTTGTTCGTGGCCACCTTGCACAAAACGAATCCAGAAGGAATAAGCAAAATATTCAATGATGTTCAGTGGCCATCTAAAATGAGCACAGGAAAAAAACATGATTTAGCCAAAGAAAAATGTCGTGAAAGATCTTTCTCAGGCTCAGGTATGTACAGTTGCTGCATTGGGAGCAGACCCACAGAACAGTTTGCGAAAGCTTTGATGGAAAAACTTCTGGGCACAGCAGACAAACCCCTCCCGCGTTCCCACATCTTAGATTCTCCGCGCTGTCACTGATGGTCCCAGCCTCATCGCCGTGAACGTGGGATTCACTTTTCTGGTCTTGCAAGGTGCAACTCTTTTGGCAAGAGGATCATCCCCACAGCATTGAACAAGGTGACCAGAGGTGTTACATGGTGTTACTCTCTTCATCCGTCAAAGCACTACAGTGTCTACAGCTCTGTGGATTCAAGGGCTACCATCTGCGTGTATGAAGTGACACAGGTACAGACGCAAATCACTCCGAGTGCATGCGCCGGCATTTGCGCCAATCTTGTTGAATTTTGGGTGATTTGACCATATCATCCCACACTCAATGGGTTGATTTCAGGGAATCGTCATGAAACGTCACGCTAAATCAGCGTGATTTTACCTCCAAATTGACCGAGGCTTCAACCAGTTGAAGCTTGCCCAACTCATTCAATTCGTCGAATATCATTATCTTTTAGGTTTAAATTCCATGTTTTGATATGTGTTGTATATTTTTGCTGGTGATCCTCAATGAATTCAGCTACGTCAAGGGCGCCGTGCCTCTCAGCTGCTGCGATTACGCTGCGTCCACGGTCGCCTGACGAAGCTTCGAGGCAGAGCCCCCATCTTCTTGGTACATACCATATACGTGTGTTACATGTGTTAACAGTATGTTAACATAATCGAAGGAAGTTTAGAAGTCAAACTTCCGACAATATGGACAGATGAAAAGCAGAGCAGGGAAGAGGCAGAGAGAAGAGAAAGATTAGAAGAAAGAAGAATAATTAGAAGAGAAAGAGTAAGAAGAAAGAAGATGCAGATGCGTGAAAAGGTAGGAAAGTCGCAAAACACTGTGTTTTTCCAATGATTTGGGGCTCCGGGGGGTCGAAAAGTAGGCTCGCTAAAGCGGCGGGTGCGGAGCCAGCTGGCCAGATGAGAGATGAAAAATTGCACGCCGTTGTGGCGCGAAGCGCATTTGCAAGTCAAAATGTACAAAACACATGGGTCTCGGAGCACTTTTGGAAGTTGGGATGTCG